TCTGTAACAATGCATCCTAGGGTGGAACTGGTACATCTGGGACTTAACACAAGTAAGAACAGAAGGTACAAGCAAGTTCCATGAGCTGGCAGCCTAGACCCCCATGAACACCACTACTACATTGGCACCCTTCCCCTGGTGCACCCTTCTGGTTGTATGCAGGATCCTTTATGACCAGCTGACAAGAGGAGGAAAAATCCTGTACTTGGTCGATGGAGGGTCTGCTCAGTATGTGAGTTCAAGCTGAAAACAGATGGCAGTTGCATTATAGCCCCACTTAGGGACAGCCTTGAAAGACAACAGTGGAGGAAAATCCCCATGGGCAGAGCTTCAGGAGGTGCACTTGGCCATCCATTCTTCCTGCACAGAGAGGCATCTCAAGCATAGAATATCTATGTACTCAGTGGCAGTGAGGAATGGCCTACCTGGCTAGCCAGGGCCCTGGAAGAAGAAAGGTTGCAATGGAAGATGGGGAACAGGGAGGTCTGGGGTAGGGGCATGAGGATAGATGTCTGGAGTGGGCACCAAGTATGAAGATCTTTGTATTACATGTTAACACCCACCAGAAACCACCCACCACTGGAAAGCCACCATGTAACTAAGAAGACAAAAATATCTGGGCCAGTTGACCTTAGCTGGCCTCTGTCATCAGCCACCCAGTGCTGGTACTAAGGGCACATGCATGAAATGACTACAGTGGCAGAGACAGAGGCAGTAGCAGCCAAATAGCATGGGCTCCCACTTACAAAGGCTGATTGAGCTACTGCTGCTGCTGAATGAGCCCCCAATATGACACCATTCCTCCAGGAGACTAGCTGGCTCCATGGTGCAAGTTGACTACATGGAACCCCTTCTATCTGGGAAAAGGCAAGATTCATCCTAACCACATGGAACCCCTTTCCTCTGAAAAAAGTCGAGATTCACCATGTCGAGAAAACACACATATTCTGGGTACTATTCACCTTTCCTGTCCTCAGGACCTTAGTCAGCACCACTATTTGAGGGCTTATCGAGTATCTGATTCACTGTCACAGGATCCCACATAACATCCCATCAGGCCAGGGACCCAATTTACTGCAATGGAGGTGCAGAAATGAGTCCGTGATCAGAGGATTCCCTAAGCAATTCACAGGCTGGATCATCCAGACCCTGCCAGCTTGACAGGATATCAGAATGGCTGCTGAAGGCCCACTGGAAGCAGTAGCTTGGAGGTAGCACTTGATAAGGGTGGGTTCATCTTCAAGGATGCTCCTTGAACCAAAAACCTTTATATAGTGCTGGGACCTGCAAGGTTAGAAGTCTTTGTCCCCAATGGGGGAATCTTTCACCAGAGGATACAGCAAGAGTCCCATTGAGCTACAAGCTACAGTTGCCACCTGGGCACCTTGTACCAGAAGACCAGAAGGGGAGTCATCTAGGCTAAGAGTAATCCACTTGGGTGCCTCTGAGTCCTCCATTGCCCAATTATGACAATAAACAGGCTTGGAAAGGGCATGCTGGTCAGGGGTTGAGATTCTCAGTTCATGAGGCAGGACGGAGGCATTAGCCACTCAGACCAGGGGAGGTGCTAGCTGGGGGAGGGGGAGATTTAGAATGGATACTGAGGAAGGAGATGATGAATACCAGTTGTGACCCCCAGAGACCTGCAGCAGCTGGGGCTATAGTTTGTCCCAGGGACCTTTCTCTTCCAAGTTTCCAGCAGGAATCCTGGAGGAGTTGCTCCTGAAATTGACCCGTGGAGGAGAAAGAGGTGTTGCTCCAAATATGCTGGAATCATCTTCAAGGGTTGGCTGTGGCAGTCCTTGAATCCTTCCTCCATCCTCTCTTTTCTGCCCTTTCTTCTTTGGATAAATATTTACTTTCTTTTTTTCTTTTTCTTTTTTCTTTTTTTTGAGATGGAGTCTTGCTCTGTCACCCAGGCTGGAGTGCAGTGGTGTAATCTTGGCTCACTGTAATTGCTGCCTCCCAGGTTCAAGTGATTCTCATGCCTCAGCCGCTCGAGTAGGTAGTATTACAGGAACACACTACCACACTTGGTTAATTTTTGTATTTTTAGTAGTACCGGAGGGGGGGTCTCGCCATGTTGGCCAGGCTGGTCTTGAACCCCTGACCTCAAGTGATCCGCCCACCTCGGCCTCCCAAAGTGCTAGGATACAGGTGTAAGTCATTGCACCTAGCCCATTGGACACATATTTCTATAAATGTTCACTGAACGTCTAAAAATAAGAACCAGAAGAATAGGCTGGGCACAGTGGCTCACGCCTGTAATTCCAGCACTTTGGGAGGCCGCAACAGGCAGATCACCTGAGGTCAGGGTTTCGAGACCAACCTGACCAACATGGTGAAACGCCGTCTCTACTAAAAATACAAAAATTAGCTGGGCGTGGTGGTGGGCACCTGTAATTCCAGCTACTCGGGAAGCTAAGGCAGGAGAATCGATTGAACCCAGGACGTGGAGGTTGCAGTGAGCTGAGATTGCGCCACTGCACTCCAGCCTGGGCGACAGAGCGAGAATCCGTCTCAAAAATAAATAAAATAAAAATAAGTAAACAAAAGGAAACCATAGGTCCTGCCACCAAAGCAGCTCATAACGGAGTGGGAAAGTTGTATACCTCTAGGGAAAATCCTCTAATAGAAATGTCTTAGCACACACATTTCTCTGGTACATGACGTGGTTGTGATTGTAGAACTCTGATATCCCTTCATCCCAAAGACTCAGGGGGCATTTCATGTGTGATCAGAACAAGTCCAGTCAGGTGTCACAGACTTTGCCCATTTTCAGCCTCTCCCTCAGCTCTGACCTGCTCTACCAGGAACTCCCAGGGGCAACAAGCCTCTGCCATGCACAGCTGCTATTGATTTGCCCAAGCCTGGGAGCTGCTGAATCTGCCCAGTGGGGGCAGGGCGGGGCAGCTGCTCTCCCCTTGTGTTTTGCTTTGTCATGGGTGGGGAGGCAGGGAGGGAGGTTAGTTTGTAGCCCAGTCTTTTACATGGTTTTTAGTAAAATATCCTTTTCCGTTTTTACCAAAAGTACCCTTCCCTCTTCCTTCCACTCCCTTAGGTCTCAGATTCTAGTCCAGTGCGGGACTGGGTTAGGAGGCAAATACAGTGAGACATGGAATACTAAATTGCCCCTCCCACAGGCAGATGACTGGGGGGCAGGGGTCCACAGCTCTGTCTATAACATGAGTTCAGACATGTTCACAGTGGGTGCGACTTAAGTTTAAGATGGGTCCTCACCTCCTTGTTCATAGAGCTAGAAGAGTGAAGAAGAGGAAAGGATTAATTCATCCTGGAAAATTGAGAAAGAGCTTACAAAAGAAATGTCACTTGAGCCAGGCATGGTGGCTCATGTCTGTAATCCCAGTACTTTGAGAGGCCAAGGTGGGAGGATCACTTGAGGCCAGGAGTTCGAGACCAGCCCTGGGTAACAGAGTGAGACCCTGCCCTACAAAAAAAATAGCTGTGCATGGTGGCACATGACTGTAGTCCCAGCTACTTGGGAGGCTGAGGCAGGAAGATTGCTTGATCCCAGGAGTTCGAGACTGCAGTGAGCTGTGATGGCACCACTGCACTCCAGCCTGGGAAACAGAGACCTTGTCTTAAACAAAACAAAACAAAAGAATTGTCACTTGATCTGGGTTTTAAAGAGGCCTGTCAGATGGGGAAGGGAATTTCAGACAGAGGGAAGAGCTAAAGCACTGGGCCCTTAGAGAGATTGTTGGTTCAGACAAAGCTCTTGCTCCAGGGAATTTACACTCCAATGCGGGGAGATCTGCAATAAACAAACAAACACGTGCATCCTGTTAGGCGGTGATGAATGCCAAGAAGAAAAATAAAACACTGTGATAGGGCATCTGGGAGTGGCATGGGTGCTATTTTAGGTAGAGAGGCCAAGGTCGGCCTTTCTGCAAATGTGTTTTTTGAGCAGAGACCTGAATGAAGTGAGGAAGTAAGCCACATGGGTAACAAGAGAAGGGCATTCCAGGCAGAGGGAACAGCCAGAGTGCAAAGCTCTGAGAGGAGCAGGCTTGTGTGCTCAAGAAGGCCCGTGTGTCTGGGGCACAGTGAGAGAAGAGGGCAGTGGGAGGAGAGGGAGCCACCCTAGGGCTTTGAGCAGAGGTCATCATCAGTCCATCAGTTTGGAGAAGAGGCTTCTGGAAACATGGGTAGAAACATAAAGACCAGCTAGGAGGCTTTGCAATGATCCAGGCAAGAGATGACAGGGTCCTGAGTGAAGGTGGTACTGGCGGAGGAGCAAAGGGGTGTTGGAGGATATTGCTGGATTCTGGTTATCTTTTGAAGGTAGAGTTAACGGGATTTGTTGATAGACTAGATAACATTGGAAAGGTAGGTTGTTGCTGAAATGAGAATTAAGACAATTTCTGAACATACCACTTCCTTTCTTAAAAATTTCGTGATAAAGTCCAGACTCATTAGCAGTCATTTATTCATTTGCTGATTCATTCAACACATACTGATTGAATGCCTAGTGTGGGCCAGGAATTGTGCTAGGTGTTGCAGGTAGACACAAAATTTAAAAGTAGGGCATACTTTCTGCCCTTACAGATCTTTAGTCAGATGGGTGACACAGACAAGTACTTAGGTCATTACAACCCATGTGACAATTGCTACCATGGGGAAATACAGGGGAAAATAGGGGCATATGGGAAAGGTATCTAATTGGAGTTAGCAAGGCTCCACTCATACCTTACCCCGAGATCAGCTCAGTTTTTCAGTTCACTCTAGTAATGCTGCCCATTGCGGGGCTGTGAGACAGTACAGTCTGAGCTCGGTCATCGGCGGGTGGCCAGCTTTGTCTCTGCAGCTCCGCGGCCCGGGCTTACTCGAAGGTCCCCTGGGAATAGCCTCACTTTTGCCCCACTTCCCAGTCTAGCCCCTAACTTCCCGCCGTCTATTGGCTGCGCAGCCGCCCAATGGGCAGGCGGGAACCGCGGGCTCGCGCTCCCAGCCTAGGGCGTCTGATCTCGTTCGCGCGTCTCGCGAGCATTAGGTGACTGGCTGAGGCGACGCCAGTTGGCCGGGCACAGGCTTGCTGTGAGGCCGAGGTTGCGGCGGAAGCAGAGAACATGTTCCGAGCTGCGGCTCCGGGGCAGCTCCGACGGGCGGTGAGTCCGGACTGGGAAGGCGAACCCAGGGACGGTCCCCCGTCAACCCGCCGTCCCTATAGGGTCTTGCAAACGTCACTGGCCCCTCAGACCCGACCAGCCCACGCGCCCACAGGCCGGTCCCCGCCTGGGACTTGGGTCCAAAGTTCTGGGGCCTGCCCTGGACTCCTTCGGGGCCGCCAGTTCGGGGCAGAAGTCAGAGGTTGGGGGTCAGGGTGACTCCGAATGGTGTGAATTTGAGCGTCTGCTGCCCCTTCTCCTAGCCCACTCTGCCCTGACGCTTCCCACATTTGTCGCTCACTCTAGACACTTTCGGGCCGCCAGGCCCTCCACACTTGCTCCACACCCGAGGGAGCAAAATGTCGCCGGGAAATGCCCTGTTGGGGACAGTTTCAAACCTGGATTCCTCCTGGAGGCCGGCATTTCTGGAAGAATTAAACAGTTTGGGCGCATTGTGGCCGCTCCGACCCACTCACTGTCAAGGGCGGGGGCGGGGGGTGAGGTGGGAGGCGGCGTGGCCAGTTATGGAAGCTGACTCTGCTTTCTGGTTTATGGAGCAGGGCTGAGTTGAGGCGATTGTATTTGTAAAACCTGTGATCCGATTTGACAGCTGTAGCCAGTTTTGAAAGGCAGACGTCTTTTTATATGCTCCAGGCTGACCTGCTTTTAACCAGCAGATTGTAGGTTAAATAGCTTAACTGGTGACAGTGGTACATTTTCAGTGTTTCATTAGTGACAAACCACGTTTTTCTCTTCTGTTGTGAGAAGGACTGATAGGAAACATATTTTTGTTCTCATGATGTGGGAGAGTAGTATTTGGAGACTGACCAGGCACAAGTCAAGTAACAATAATTTATATTGTGGATTCTGTAGTTTTCCTAGTTTACATTTAGGTGAAATGAGAAACAAGATTGGTAAACCTGGGTCAGAAACTTACCTGATGGTTTGTACCTTTTCTCCTTTTTTTTTTTTTTTTTTTTCTGTGCATGAATATTTTCCCATCCACTCCTGGGATTTTTCTCTCTGAGGCATAGCTGGAGCTCTTTCTAGATGTCTGTAGACATTAGACTTTTTTTTTTTTTTTTTTAAGAGACAAGGTCTGACTCTGTTGCCCATGCTAGAATGGAGTGCAGTGGCACTATATGGGCTCACTGCAACCTTCGCCTCCCGGGTTCAAGCGATTCTCCCACCTCAGCTTCCCAAGAAGCTGGGACCGTAGGTGTGCATCATCACTCCTGGCTAATTTTTTTTTTTTTTTTTGTAGAGACGGGGTTTTGCCATATTGCCCAGGCTGGTCTTGAACTCTTGGCCTTAAGTGATCCACTTGCCTCGGCCTCCCAAAGTCCTGGAATGACAGGCCTGAGCTACCGCGCCTGGCTGTAGACATCTTTTTTCTTGTGCGTATTCCTTGTTTGATAAAAAGTCCTGAGCCTGCCTTCCCCTGAAGAGTTCAAACCCATGTCTTTCAGGTTAGTGTCCTGTCTTCCCCTCAGGATGTATTTTCTCCCATTAGGGGATCTGGACATAAACAAGTGAAAGTCATGAATTTGGGGAAATTCTGGGAACCCGAGCCAGAAGAATGCTGCTCTATGCAGCAGTTGGAAAACAGTTTTGTGGACAGATTACAAGTCTGGCCTAAGTGAAATTATAATTGTGGTGGGGGATGGAATTTAGGACTCAGTAACTTTGTAGAGCTAACAGAAAAAAATGGAATGATTAAGTAATTCTTACTATCCCCATCATTGGCTAATGTGTTAGACATTACTTCCAGATATTCATTGTGGTTTGCCAAAGACTTTGACCTTGACTTATTTTTAAAATTTGAAGTCAAGCTAAGTAGAATAGCTGTTTTAAAGTCATTAAGAATGTTGGAGAGATTTTAATTTCTAGCATAAAAGAAATGGTGGCAACACTTCTAAAGTGAACCCATAAATTAATAGGGACATATACCCGTATTTAACTTTTTAAATTTTGAAATATTTGCACTTATAGAAAAGTTGCAAGAATAGTACAGAGAAATCTCAAAACCCTTCCCCTGGTTTTCCCATCCTGTTAGCAGTTTGACACGTGTGCTTTATCTTTTCGCATACATACATAATACTATCTGTCTGAACCATTTGAAAGTATGTTGCAAATGTACCCTTTACTCCTAAATAATTCAGTGATATTTTAAAAGAACAAAGGTTCACTTTCTGACTACACTGTAATTGGCAATATCTGGAAGTTTCACCATAAAATACTGTTTTCTAATCTCTGGATGTTCAATTTTGCCAGTTGTCCCATTAGTACAGTTTGTAGCAGTTTTCCTTTTTCTGGTCTAAGATACTCTAGATGTCAAGTGGTTTTCGTGTCTCTCTTACTCTGTTAGAAAGGTTCCTTAGCCTTCCTTTGGGTTTGATGACATTGGTGTATTTGAAGAGTACAGGCCTTCTATTTTCCAGACTGTCACTCAATTTGGGTTTGTCTGGTGTTTCCTCATGATTGGATTCAGGTTATGTATTCTTGGTGAGAATATCACAAAAGTGGTATTGTGTTCCCCGTGCATCATATTAGGAGGTACTTAATGTTGGTTTATCCCATTAGTGGTAATGCTAACTTTAGTTACTTAGCCAATGTGTTGTTTGCCACGTTTCTCCCCTGTCAAGTTAATACTCCTCCTTTTGTAATTTTTAACTAATTTATGAGGAGATACATTGAGACTATGTGACTCTTCTATTTCTCATCAGACTGTTACCCAGTCTTAGCATCTGTTGATGATTTTTACCTGAGAAATGATTACTGTGATGCAAAATGGTGATTTTCTATTTCCATGATACCTTCTACATTTTTTAGTTATTCTACTATAAGGAAGAACATTATCTTCTTGCATATTTATGGATTTATGGATACATGGATCCTTATTTAGGATAATACATTTCTACCTTATGCTTACGTTGTCTCATATTTGTGTAGTGGGGCACATTCAATCTGACTCTTGTTTGTTTACATATATATGTTTATGATATCACAAAGTCAAAATAGCTTAGCTTAAATCCCTACTCTTGAAATAAAAAAAAAAAATTGTTCTGTAGCTAACCATTAATACATTTAGGAAGAGGATACATTTCCAAAACCATATTAAAAAAAATAAAGTTAGGAATTATAGTTAAAGGTTACCATAAACTGTTAACAATGTGAATATAGTTAACACTACTAAACTATACACTTAGAAATGGTTAAGATGGGGCCAGCCGTGATGGCTGACACCTGTAATCCCAGCTCTTTGGGAGGCTGAGGCGGATGGATCACCTGAGCTCAGGAGTTCTAGACCAGCCTGGGCAACATGGCGAAACCCCATCTCTAGCAAAAAAAAAAAAAAAAAAAAAAATTAGCCAGGCGCCATGGCGCACACCTGTAGTCCCAGATGCTTGGAAGGCTGAGGCACGAAAATTGCTTGAACCTGGGCGTTTGAGGCTGCATTGAGCCCAGATAGCACCACTGCCCTCCAGCCTGCGCAACACAGTGAGGCGCTGTCAAAAAAAAAAAAAAAAAAAGTTGGTAAATTTTATGTAGTTTTTAAAATCACTTTGTTAAACTATTAGAATATAAGTTCAATGACTTGCATTTGGTATCTAAGTTCCATTTTTAATTCTGACTGATTTGTGCCATTGAGTAAAGTCTTTCATCTTTGTGTGTGTGGCAGTGGTCCTTAAAGTCATCTGTTAACAAAGATAGTTTTTGTATCTATAATAAAGAGCTAGAGAACACACCGAGAGGAAAATAGGTAGGCATTTGCAATTAGTTAATATTCTTGCAGGGATATTAATCCTAATTATTATTATTATTTTATTAATTTGCTCTTGAAATTGATTTATTGAAGAATAAGAAGATGCAAAAAAATTTATGTGGTGAGTGAAACAACAGTTTCAAGGTCATTTGAGTACTCTTGTTACTGTGTTTATTGTCAAGCGGGAAGGAATATCAGGATTGAAAAGCTAAGAAATTGGTGTGAAGCAACATGACACTTTTCTGTCTAGTGTTGATGAATAAGATTGAAGTCTAATTTGTATGCAAGTTTTAATTTCTACTGAAAGAAGAAAGCGCCAATTTTGGTGTGATTCTAAAAGAAAATTTATTGCATAAGGTGAATTCAGTAAAATTATGATGCCTGCCAATGTGTCTACTAAGAGTCTTGTCTGTTCTTTTTTGTTTTGTTTTTTGACACGGAGTCTCTCTCTGTTGCCCAGGCTGGAGTGCTGTGGTGCGATCTCAGCTCACTGCAAGCTCCGCCTATCAGGTTCATGCAATTCTCCTGCCTCAGCCTCCCGGGTAGGTGGGACTACAGGTGCCTGCCACCACGCCCGGCTAATTTTTTGTATTTTTAGTAGAGACGGGGTTTCACTGTGTTAGCCAGGATGGTCTCCATCTCCTGATCTCATGATCCGGTTGCCTTGGCCTCCCGAAGTGCTGGGAGTGCGGTGAGCCACCGCGCCCGGCCTGTCTGTTCTTAAAGTGAAGTAAATTGACTGTGTTTTCAGTATTACAGTCAATGTTATATAACATTTATGGTTATGATTAAAAACTGCTATATTTTATCACTAAAAAGATTAAAGGAAGTATTTAAAGTACAGAAATACAATATACATTTTTAAAATTACAAAATGTATGTTAAAATCAGGCTAGGTGACTTTATACATTATTTATCCTTTTGGGTATGACTCGGAAAGATTTTATAGCTTATTCTTGCTGTTTTTCTTTTTTTAATTAAGAAGCAAAAAAACCGGCTGGGAGTGGTGGCTCACGGCTGTAATCCCAGCACTTTGGGAGGCTGAGGTGGGCGGATCACGAGGTCAAGAGTTCAAAACTAGCCTGGCCAACACGGTAAAACCCCATCTCTACTAAAAATACAAAAAATAGCTGGGTGTGGTGGTGCGTGCCTGTAATCCCAGCTACTTAGGAGGCTGAGGCAGGAGAATTGCTTGAACCCGGGAGGTGGAGGTTGGAGTGAGCTGAGATTGCGC